CACGAATCTGATTACAACTAATTATAAATAAGGGAATATTATTGGCAAAAAAGGTGATTAAGACCCATAAAATTGATAATTTTACTTGTAAAAAAGTGAATATAATATACGAAAGGGTCTCAACATACTTTTAATAATTTAATTACCGAAATCCTTTGCACGCATTAAATAATTACAAGTTAAAAATAATTTACATAATATCGTGAAGATAGTTCCTAAGCTTTGCTCTCAACTGGTTACGGCTTACAAATTGTCGTTATTATTTGTGAAGTAAATAATTTTATCATTGATAAAATATTATATATTTACTAATATATAGTAAAACACGTAATGCCATGAACGAATTTGTTTCTATTTTTACGCAATCGTAATTAAGGAAGCGTCGATATACGTGCATTTGAACAGCAGTGTTCGTTAGAGCAGATAAAAATATAAGATAAGACAAACATTAAATCATTGTATAGATTAATAAAATCGACAGAACATTAGATACTAGTATATAAATCGTCAATTTCTAAACAACAACTTTACTTAATCCTTTGCCCTACAACCACGTTTGAGAAACGTAGTCAGATAATCGGGTCAAAATGATTATCACGTCCGAGAGACGTGGTTAAATATCGGGTCAGAAATGATTATCACGTCTGAGGAACGTTATAAAATGATCGGGCCAGAAATGATTATCACGTCTGAGAGACGTGGTTAAATATCGGGTCAGAAATGATTATCACGTCTGAGGAACGTTATAAAATGATCGGGCCAGAAATGATTATTACGTCTGAGAGACGTAATATTTGAGACTGATATTTGGTAAAAATATCGGGCCCGAAATGAGAGCTGTGGTGTGTCAGTCGGGCCAAATATAAACATAACTAGTTAGGCTCGTGTTAGACTAAGGGATATGTGTTTTGTGGTTTTTTGTTTTTCGTCATTTAATTGTTTTATTAGTAGCTAAGGGAGGTAGCGCAGGAACCAGCGTGATACGTGCTGCGATTTTTACGATCTTTAATTGTTTACAGCTCATACGAAAGTCAGCCGATTTCGATGAAATTTTTAACATAACGTACCGAGATCTACAAAACAAATTTTTTAAATTTTCGTTGTAGGCTCAGATAAAAAAGTTACAAAACAAGAGTTTTTTGTTTTCTTTTGTCATTCTAAGCAATAGCAACTTTTAAGAAAACATCCTAGTTATGGCCTAGTAGACTGGTCGCTGCATCATTTTAAAAAAATTCATGTTATTTAGTCCAGTTCTAAAAATGTTATTGCGTTTTGAAAAGTGTCTGAATATTAACGTGGGTCGCTGTATTTACATTCCTTAAAACGTGTGCGATTGGCACAGCAATCGACCTTGTTGTTTGTGGTACACGTTATTGAAACTTAAATCGTAGTACATGGGTTTAATTTATTTGATTTTCTAATACAGTTTCGAAAAAAATGCGACGATACTTCACATGTGTCTGCCATTTGTCCACACGGTTTGGTAGTCGCATGATATCACTTAACTTTAACTCCCATCAATTCTTACCTGTTGCAGCGTCGACATTCCCACTATTGGTCAATTGTCGCACATGCGTCGTATCCAAGCATGAGGTAGGACTCTAACAATGCTTTCCGTAGCCGTAATCTATAGTTTGGTAAAGGTTTATACAATTCTCGCAAAATAACGTAAATATTGTTATTATTTTCACTGTATACTATAGGACACTTTCTTCCGTACTTAATCAATAAACGATCATATTATCATACACACTTTAGTAGATTCTACATTGAATTCTATTGGATTGGCAACTAAGTAATTGCCGATTTGTTCAATGAAATAAAACATTTTTTTTTTTTACTTGGTATGAAGTTTAATCTGTAATGTATTTTCCATTTTGATCGATGACCTTTTGCCATCTCTCTGGCAACTTGAAAATACCACGCTCGTAGAAAGGCTGATTCTTTTTGGCCAAAAACTGAGTTAAGTGAGATTTTACAGCGTCATCATCATTGAAGGTTTTACCACGAAGGGAGTTATCCAGGGATCGAAATAAGTGGTAATCCGATGGTGTGAGATCAAGACTATATGAGCCGTTCAGTGCACACATCGCTTAACTCCATAAAAGAAAAAGTTGAGAAACGCGATGAAACGATGTACATTGTTTTCTAAAATTCCTGTTATAATATAGATTCACACATATAATGTAGAATGCATAAATACAGATATAGCTTTCATCTGACGCTGTATAAAATTAATAAGAAAGAATAGCCAAAAAATAATCGTCAGTAATGTTACAGCTTTTATGTGACTGGTGGAGTTAATCAATTTGGCAACTGAAAAAAAGTAGTAAAGTTAAATTCAGTCTTTAAATTTTTAAGTTTTTTATTACAGAAAAAGTTAGTTATTATATATTTTTATTACAGCTTTTGCATAAAAATGAATGTTGACAATTCTGTTATATTATATTATTTGTAATTAATTCATCAGAAATATTATAAATAATGTCTTCTTCATCAGCTGGATGTGAGGATTCGTCATTTCGTCATGTCTCTCCATTTTTCCCTTGTCACAGTTCTGCCTTTAGGATATAATAAAGGCTGATATATATTTTTCAAACTTTGCGGTCTACCTGATACAGATTTTCTTAAATTAATGGCTTTAAATTCTGTATCTTCATTATAATCACATTTGAATTGTATGAGATGGGGTTTGGACCTTTCTAATTTTATCCAGCGTATTTTAAGCCAATTTACTGGAAAGCCTGTGACGGTTACTTTTCTGTTAATGATTGATTGTTCTAAAGGTTTTGTTGAAAAAATATCTTGGTGGGTCATTTGGATTAGATGAAATGGAGCTTTCTTTTTACATGTTTTGATTATATTGTACCAATCATCTGGTGAAAAAATGTTTTGATTTTTTTTCGCACGTGACTCAATAATGGCAAAATCTGAGTCATTAGGCAAATAGCTGTGCCCACTTACCAAAAATTTCATTTCAATTGACTCAGCTCTTATTTCCATACTCTGAACAAGTTTCAATAAACTTAAGACAGTTTTAATATTTCTGTTTTGCCCGGTACACGAATCCGAATATGTTATTATTTTTTCAAAGTTTGTAGCGTAAGTCTTTATGTACTTTATTAGACAAGATGAAATTTCTTGAGACCCACGAGATCCTTCAGTTTCTGGCCAAACAAACATGTGGCTTATATTTTTACTGAATTCATGACATCCGAAATTATAAACATATAAATTACGCTTATAATAAGCTACGGATGTGGTCAGCTTGGGAAAGGCCAAAGCTTCTTCCAAGTCGAAAGAAAATAAGAAAACTTTTTCTGATGTTGCCATTCGGTCGGCAGCCATTTGACTGCGAGCCCGTTCAGCCTCTTCTAAGTGAGTTTCCTTTTCAATTTCTGCCATCTTCTTTGCCTCACCGTCTGAGGATTGAATTTTTATTTGCAAAGCATCACAATTTTGACACGTATCCTTTGATGGTTGTTTAAAATGTAAATTAAATTTTGTAGAGAACACATTATAGTAATACTTTTCTTTCACTGGTACTACATTTTCCTTTTCACATTCTGTGACGTATAGTTCATACATCTTCTTAATATTTAAGTCAGGATCTAAATATTGTCGTCTTGGATTATGAGCTCTAGTGTAGTGACTACGGTAGGCTGGAAATAACTTTATATGTTTTATAACACTTGTGTCATCTATTTTATTGCTTGCAACATGGCCTTTGCGCAGATCAACCAAAGATGTAACTTGTTCTTTAGGACAACATTTGTATATCCGCCCATCGCTCACCTGATAAGTGTCTCTAAAATATTTTTTGCAAACGGGAATATCACGTGTGTCTTTTCGAAAGTAATATGTAAAAGAATGTGATCTTCGTTCTTTAGTTTCATTCGTGGGGCGCCTTCTTTTTATTTCGTTGACTTTAATACAACCTCTTAAGAAAATATTTTGGTCGAGCTGACTATGTAAACTATAAAATGCCTTCATGGCAGTCTCTCTCTCATTTGAAAAAATTTTTTGGTTGCACTTTTGGCGGCATCTGCATTTTATATCGACAAATGTTTTTGCAGGTATTAAATTTCCTCCCCTATTCCTATATGCCAAACCTTTTGTTCTGTTATGCTTTTGTAAATTTCGTGTCCATTTATCAGGATTACAACTTCTTTTCCTCCCAATCAACGTGTTTGTTGCGAAATTTGTACTGTTGCAATCAGATGAATCCGAGGAAAACGATAAACGTCTTCTTGAACCACACTTTCTGTTAATAAATCGTATTGAAGAACCATCACTGTTTTCGTCATCCACGTTGTTATTAGTCTCACTCATCTTGGTTATAACGGTATAATATTTATTTCTTTAAAAACAATCTGGGAGTAATGATGAAAAGACCAAGAAAATATGTAGGCCGTGCAATAATGGTGAAGTAGACAGTAACATTCAGCGTGCGAGATCACTGTTATACTAACTACCGTTTGCGTTGCGCTTTTTTTTAATCTGTTTGTCGATGCGATTTTATTACCAATATTATTGAGAGGGGGGAAAGCATCTTCGGCTGTTTAAAACAAAGCGTTGATGCATGACAATAAAGCAACGATTACATTAGGGTATGGAGTTAATCAAAATGACTTCTGAAATAAATTACTTATTTTTCAATGGCCAAAAAAATGTTGCCGTTTAATGGTGTTAATTTTTATTATACAGGGAAGTTATTATAAATATAAAAAGTTATGACTATAGCAAGTGCTTTGACACATAAATTTAAGATTTTTCAAAAAGTGGAGTTAATCGATGTGTGCACTGAACGGCTCATATGGTGGGTGTAGCATCAATTCCCAACCAATATCCATCAATTTTTGCCGAGTGAACAAAGACGTGTGCGGCCTAGCATTGTCCTGGTGGAAAATGACACCTTTATGATTGACCAATTCTGGTCGGTTTTCCTTGACCGCTGCATTCAATTTGTCCAGTTGCTAACATTCACAGATAATAAAAAATAACATAATAATAATAATAATAATAATAATAATTTTATATAACATTTACGGATATCATAAAAATGGGAGTGGGAGACATCTATAACTGAAATCGGCAATTACTTAGTTGCCAACCCAATATGTATCTATATCGATATCTGCATTAAACTCTATAATATATTCAATTCTAAGTTGAATTCTACATTCGATACTATATTGAACTCTACATTGAATTTTAGATTAAATTCTGGACTGAGTTTTATACGTTTCATTCTACATTAAATTCTATATTTAAATCTACGTTTATTTCTATATTCAATTCTATGGCAGAACTTGCGAGAGAATTACGGAAAACCATTCATAGATCACACGGCACAAACTAAAACAATATTCTTTACAACGTCCATCTACTGACTATAAAATAATGCATACATATACTTTTATATAAAAATTCATGACGTTTCTAAACTGTATATTTTATTGTTACAAAGTTAACAATCAACTTAATCCTATTTTTACAACACGATAAAATTATAGCCTTTAGTACATCAACGATATCAACGTAATTGTAAACTCGCATAGATTCCAATTAATACTAAACTTATGTAGGATTAAAAGCGACTGATATATGTTATCCTATTTTAAGAATGATAAGATCGAACATATTTGGATCTTGTATACTTTGTATCATAATGTATATATAGACGAATAAAAAAAATATACTTGATCATTTTCCACGAAACGGTCTTCGTAAAATATAAAGTGGTAGGTTTAATATTAATATTTAGACAGCGAATCATCGTGAAAATTCAATTTTTCACAGTTTATTTTGTCGAAATAAAGAAAGGGAAAATCAATTCCGTTTGCTCGGATACTTTTTATAGCAAAAGTAGAAGAAACGTAGTATAAATTTAATATTAACTTAATTTGTTTTTATAAATGCCTAAGAAATTATTTCAAAGCATATCGATCTTTCAGTATACATATGCAAAAGAAACAATATTATTCTACGAAAGATCGAATAAATTAAAAATCTAAAAATCCATAGAAAACTTAAACATTCTCAAATGAATTATTACCGAGAGACAGAATTTTCCTCGTTAATTCGTAAGCGGTGTCGGCACTCAAAACCGAAATCACAAGATCGTGTACAGAGCAGTCGCGCGGGAAATTTTGAACATGCCGCATCAGTGAAATCGATTCATGCGTGTTCGCGAGCCACGAAATTTCGGAATCGAAAGTGGAGAAGCAGTTGGTAAAAAGGAGTGACAGCGTAGCCGCGGCCAAAATGTAGGGAGGAGTTGGAATAAACAATCGTGGACCGAGTACGTCGATCGTCGAGCGTCGACTGGCCGCGAGCCCGACGACCACGCAATACGTAGCGCAGTATAGAGAGGACGACTGGAGCCTGTCTGCTTAGCGCTCACCCCTCCGTGGCTGTCTGTTGCCTAAGGGCGGCCTCGTCCGGCGCGAATTCGCGGCGACACGGCAGCGGCATCGGCGCGCCAGTAACGTGGCGACGCGGATCTTGACGCCATTTCGCGGGACTTGTGTGCGTCCTCTGTCCGTGCGATCCGCGCGCGTGCACGTGTGCGCGCGTTTAGTGGCTACTGGCTACGTAGCCCCTTGGCTCGACCCGTTTCCATGCGACGCGTACGTGTGCCCCACGGACTCTGTCGGTTTGCCGCGCCGCGGCCGCGTCGCGTCGCGACGTGCCGGTGCACCAGAACGGGTGCCGGCCGGCTAACCGAAAGAGAAAGAACGACAACGGGGTGGAGACGTATGTAGTGTGTGTACGTTCATGCATGGCCAACGAGGAGAATACGCCCCGAATGGTACACACCAAGGTGCTTGACCGAGTCAAGCCGAACGACTAACCGTATACTCGGGGACTTTTCTTGCTACCCGCTCGCAGATAAACAATTCCATTTATGCTATGCTGCCCCCTCCACCCCACCTCCCGGTCGCGACCAATCCCGTCCCATCCTGTCCAGGCCGCGCCGAATCCACGATCTTTCCCCGTCGATGTAAACCACGGTATAATCGACGGTCGTCATTGCCGTAAACACGCCGAGTTCCCTCTAACCTCTACCGAACTGTTTATGCCGCTCGAAAGATTCGGACCGATTACGAATTCGCATATCGATCGAGGTACGTATACCGGTCACGCTGTCCTTCGAATTTCAATTCGAATGGGAGAATTTACCAAATACGATGCGAATTACGACAATTTCGTGTACTCGTACGCGGTGTCGCCGACTGTAACAGATTTTTGCGTACGTCCACGGATTTTCAAATTTGTTTGCGGATTTTTGGTTCACCGCGTCCTTTGTTAATCCGACCACCTTTCGAAACGCAATAACTTTTTTCAAACTGGTTCGATTGACATGATTCTTTTCTGAAAGTGTCAAAGAGACCAGTTTACGATACAGTGACCGGCATACTTTTTTTATGATTCTGCTATTGCATAAAATGACAACAAAAGATAAGAAACGCTCGTTCCTTGACTTTTTTTATCTGAACGTGGAACGAAAATTTAAATAACGCGTTTGTTATGTCTCGGTAACTTACAGTTACACGCAAAATTGATCGTACACCTTTTGAAACGCAATAACTTTTTTAAAGCTGGAACAAGTGTCTTGAATTTTTTTTTAGACGATAACGGGCTAGTCTATGATAACGAAAGTGCTATTTTTTGAATTTTACTATTACTTGGAACGACAAAAAAGAGAGCAAAAAAAACTCTCGTACTTTAACTTCTTTATCTGAGCCTCTAACGAAAATTTAAAATGTGTCAATATATGGAAACTGAAAATTTCATTGAAATCAATTGACGCATTGGCAAGCTACAACCACTCAAAGATGGAAAAATGTCTTGTTTTCGGTTGAAATTCGTGAAAAATTGCGATTTTCATAACAACATCCATCAGTTTCGATGAAATTTTCAATATTATTATATATTTACTTAGGTCTGCGAAACGCATTTTTTAAATTTTAGATCCAGATTCAGATAAGAAAGTTACAAAACACGGGATTTTATCTTTTGTTGTCATTTTATGCAATAGCAGAATTAAAAAAAAAACGATTCACGTCAATTAGACTAGTTTGAAAAAAATTATTGCGTTTTAAAGGGTGGTTGAATACTTTTTGCCAGGGGTAGAATATTTATACAGGGTGTCACAAAATTATTGTACAAGCGAGAAAATTTATTATTATTATTAACGAAAAATACGGACCAATCGGAAAGCGAGTGCAGCCGGCGCTCCGCCCTTGTGGCCAATGCCGCGTTGCGCGGTCCATCTGAGGCAGCGACAGTGATCTCGACGGCGGGGCGTCAGCCGTACACGATCTCTCATTAGTCCGTGTTTTTCATTAATAACTCGTAACCAAAGCCGCGGATTGAATTTTCACTAAAGAAAAAGTTACTTCAAATTACCTTAGGAACCCCCCATTTCTCGCTTGTATAATAATTTTGGGACACCCCCAATGCATAATATAAAACAATGAAACACATGTATACACGTGTATACATATAATTACATAAATTCCAGTCATTTGTTCCAATTTTGAAACAGTTGTCCCGTCTTAAAATGTGTCTCAATATTCTTGGAAGTGTTCCAAAAATGTCTCGCAATCCGGAAATGGGAGGTTCCTAAGGTCATTTAAAGTAACTTTTTCCTTTATAAAAATTTTCTCCGACGCACCGTTAACGAGTTATTAACGAAAAACAGTGACCAATGAGAGACGAGCTCAGCTGGCGCGAGGCGACCGAGCCAATGAGCGGAACTGGGCTTCGTGCGCTGGTTGGCTGGGCCGCCTCGCGTCAGCCGTACTCGATTCTTATTGGTCACTGTTTTTCGTTAATAACTCGTTAATGGTGCCTCGGAGAAAATTTTTGTAAAGGAAGAAGTTATTTCAAATGATCCGAGGAACCCGTCATTTCCGGATTGCGAGACATTTTTGGGACAGCCTGTACAATCACTTCCAAGAATATTGAGACACATTTTAAGACGGGACAACTGTTTCAAAATTGGAACAAACGACTGGAATTT